TGGCCCGGTAGGCTGGGAGTCCTTTCTAGATTTCAAACTCTCTGGTTGTGTCAGCGCTCGGGGTGAACTGAGACTGGGCGTCCTGAAAGTGAGGAAGGTGCTTGTTCTCAGACGCTTAGGGCCACAAACCTGCTGCTGTCAGTTCCTGTATTTCAGAAGAAATCAGGAAACAAAAGTTGATAAAGGAAATGGACTTACATGGCACTTTAACCAACAAGGAGAGGAAAAATTCCAAGTTTCTCTCTACCTTCACTGCATCAGTGTTAAACATTTTTTGAAAAATACAAAACAAGTCAAGCATGGTAGCACATGCCTTTAATCCCAGCACTCGGAAGGTAGAGACAGGTGGATTTTTGTGAGTTCAATGACAGCCTGGGCTACATAGTGAGTTCCAGGACAGCCAGAGTTACATAGTGAGACCCTGTCTCGGAAAAAAAAAAGGCATATATATATATTCCTTTACCTGTGAGATAAGCTGTTAGAACAGTGTGAACTCCCTCCCTACAAGGCTTTTGGCTTTCCCTTCTCTAGCACTAGACTCCCAGGAAAATGTAATTCTTTAGGGTCCATTTCTTTAGGGCCCCTAGTTTAACTTTCACAAACCTTTCAGCTTCTCTTCCAAGACTCAACCCTCTCTGATGGGGGAACGTCCTTCTGTGTATATGTTTGTCTTATTGGGATCTGCCAGGCTCTCCTGGCCACCATGGGTACTGCACTCTCATGCACAAACCCACACCCATGCACACATCATTTGAAGAAAAGAAAGAGAAAAAGACTGGTTGCTGATCCATTTGAGAAGGGAAAGCATTAGAAAGGAAGCAATACAATTTCAGGAATCATCATAACAGGGTCTTAGTGGGAAAGAGAGGCCTCCCTTTAAAACCTAGAGAAGCTGCTGGATGGTGGTTGCACATGCCTTTAATCCCAGCACTCCAGAGGCAGAGCCAGTTCCACAATAGCCAGGGCTACAGAGAAACCCTGTCTTGAAAAACCAGAAAAAGAAAAATAAAAGAATCAGGCACTGGTTAGGAATATAGAAGCTGTCCTTCCTTCCTTCCTTCTTCCGTGTGTGTGTGTGTGTGTGTGTGTGTGTGTGTGTGTGTGTGTGTGTGTGTGTGTGTTTGATATATTTTGGTGTGTGTGTGTGTGTCAAGGTTTTCCTATTTTCCTATGTAGTCCTGGCTGACCTCTCTCACAGAGACCTGCCTGCTTCTACCTCTCAAATGCTTGGTTTAAAGGAGTGTACCACCACCACATCCACCTTGCTAGATCTGGCCCCTTAAGAGTGTTCACTGTCTGAAAGGGGCAGGTGTGTGTGCTAAAAGAGACCTAATGCTACCTTTGTACTTAGCATAGAACTTCTCTTCAAGTCATAATGAAACTGCTATGACTTACTTAAAACCAGTCAGGGACCATTTCCTGCATTCCTACCTGTTGGCTGTGGAAGCCTGGTACTCACCACCACCCCCAACGCTGTACTAGTGTCCCAGGAATCATTGACCCTTATTCAGTCTCAGAAGCTCTTACCTTCAGTCTCCCCTGGAACATTGATGTGAGTCCAGCAGACACACTCAGCTGCCTTGGGACTGCCCAACTTCTTTTGGAAAAATATAATGACCTTTCTTCCTGGGCTAATTTTTATCTGCTCATGAGATAGCTTCTTGGCTCATTTTCATGCCTAAGAAAACCTTCAGGCTGTCCTGGTCATGAGTCAGAGTGAGTCTCCAGTTATCTAACAATCTAAGTGTGCCTTCTCTCTATGTGACATACAAGACAGCATTTGGAAGGCTGGTGATATGAACAATAAAAAGAATTTACCAATGGTAAGAAAAAACTGAATTTTTAAATATACACTGGAAGAGAGGTGATGGACAAGCCCCTAAGATGGAGCACAGCACTATGGAACAGTTAACATGGGTGTGAAGGCCATTGTGAATAGACAGGCAAGATTGCTAATGTCTGGATTGTTTCTTTGTTTGGCCTTTTTTTGGTCTTTTGTAGCTACACTCTCTCCCCACCAACACACACAACAGGTCAACAAGGTTGTCACTGACAAAGGGCAAATTAACTTTAGGCATTTGTAATTTAATGATGAGTATGAAAATATATGAAATAGAGGCTGGAGGAGAAAATGTAATCAATCAAGAAAATCCAGGGAAAAAATAGAGGAAAATGTAAGTTTACTGCCAAAGTAAAATGAGCAAAATATTCTAAAGCACTGATTATTATGACAGATGTAACAGTTGACTAATTATTTTTTATAAGATTTATTTATTTTTATTTTATATGCATTGGTCTTTTGTCTGCATGAGGGCGTCGGAATCCCTGGAACTGAAATTACAGACAGTTGTGAGCTGCCATGTGGGTGCTGGGAATTGAACCTGAGTCTTCTTGAAGAACAGCCAGTGCTCTTAACCACTGAGCCATCTCTCCAGCTCCCAGATGACTAATTATTATATAAATTAAAATCAAATGTACAGAATGCCAATAACTGAACTTTTTCATGTAGAAAACAAAACAAATTGTCAGAATAGATGATAGGAAATGCAATTTTAAATTGTTGATAAGAAACATCTAAATATTTAATTCCCAGAAGGATTTACAGTAAAGGAAGGCAAAGTGATAGATTTAGAAAATCAAAAAAGAGTTGTGTCTTTCCACCATCTTGGAGCCGGTGGAAGCCTGCTGGGAACAGGACTTCTAAAAGGCAATTATGTCTGGAAAGCTGTGGTGCAAGGCCATTTTTGCTGGCTATAAGCGAGGTCTCTGGAACCAGAGAGAACAACAGCTCTTCTTAAAATTGAAGGTGTTTATGACCAAGATGAAATGGAATTCTACTTGGGCAAGAGATGTGCTTATGTGTATAAGGCAAAAATCAACACAGCGCCCCCCCTTCCCCCCCCCCCCGGGGCAAACCAAACAAAACCAGAATGATCTGGGGAAAAGTAGCTTGGGCCCGTGGAAACAGTGGCATGGTTCGTGCCAAATTCCGAAGCAACCTTCCTGCAAGGACCGTTGGACACAGAATCCATGTGTTGCTGTATCCTTCCAGGATTTAAACTAATAAAAAGTAAATAAATAAAAGTGGATTTGTTAAAAAAAATAAAAGAAAAAGAAAAAAAGAGTTGTGGCAATGATCACATCAGGAAAAAAAAAAGAATTGAAGGCAAAATCATAGTGAAAGAGGGAGGAATAGACATCACAATGAAGGTTGAATATACCAGGAACATAAAACACAGTTGGACAGTATGGCTTGTTTGCACAGTATACATAAAGTCTTTAAAAATATTTCATTAAATATCCATCTGTGTATGTGTATGTGCCATATACATCCAGATACCCATAGCGGGCCGAGAGGGTGGCAGATTGCCTGGACCTGGAGTTACAGGTGATTGTGAGCTGCTCAATATGGGAACTAATCTTGGGTCCTCTGAAAGATCAGTGTTGTGAGAATTTATTCTCTCTCTCTCTCTCTCTCTCTCTCTCTCTCTCTCTCACTCTCTCTCTGTGTGTGTGTGTGTGTGTGTGTGTATGGTGGAGGGGCCAGGCACAACCTACCTCCTACCTCTTAAGGTCCCAGTGGAAAATCAATGTATAATTCCACAAAGTTCACTTTGGGGAACCAATGAGTTTATTAGGCTTACTTACAGAGCTGTGTGTGAGGGGATACAAACAAGAGTAGAGGTGACCTTGACATAGGTACACTGGAAGGTCTGCACCCATCGTAAATGACAACTCTCTCAAGGCTGGATAAATGGAATCCTCTCTCTAGTCCTTCCCAGCCTATATACTTCTAGCCCCTCCCTGAGACCATGTGCAATTAGGCAAAATTGCTTGCAATTGGTCGGGAGAAGTGGCTGGATACTTAGGTGAGGCCCCATGACCTCCATGCCCCTCCCCCTTGTGTAAGGGAATTTCATAGTCAACAAACCCTGCTGTAAAGATCTTTTGTAAACTCAGTTGTACACATGAGAATGTTGGTGGATTGGCTCAGAGGATAGTCCTGTACAAGCAATAAATGTTCTCTGTTAACCATTTCTCCAGTTGAAATATGTGAAGTCTTAGGTTCAATTCTTAAGAAAACACATGGGGAGAGGAAGAGGGAGAGAGATAGAGCATGCTTGCAAAAACAAAACACAAATGTGTGATCCTGACCTGAAGTTTAGTATGTGATTTTTTTTTTTTAATGGACAGAACTACAAGGGGGGAAACCACAAGGCAGCCATTGTGAGGTATTTCCACATTTTCTGTAGTGTTTCTGTCTAGTTTCCACTGTGTTAATTGAACTCTGCAGCCCGTCAGCTTACCCTGTGGGCAGTCACAGATAAGACACAGGATCCTGATATCCACATTATTTTGAATTTCATATGACATGTGTGACGAAGAGCTTCAAAGAATATTTTACCAAAGTACCAATGTCATTCTCTGACTGGAATTTAATTAAGTTAGACTATATCAGTCAAGAAAAGTAGAGAATTGCTGTATTTGGAAAGCTGTGCCTTCCTTCTAAATACCTATATCAAAGATCCACAGTGGAGCTCATTTAATATGCAGAAATGAAAACAATGACAAGAATTACCACATCACAAATGTTCTCTGGATATTAAGTCTTAAATGCTCATGTTGACAGAAAAAAATAAAAGCCATAAATCCAATATTCATGTTAATATACGATTTAAGGAATTGTAAAAAAAAAAAAAAAACAAAAAACCCAAAATTCAATTTAAAATACGATTTAAGGAATTTAAAAAAAAAAAAAAAAAACCAAAAAACCAAAATTTAATTTAAAAATCCAATTAAAGAAATTTAAAAAAAAAAAAAAAGTCAACATAAATCCAAATAAATCTTTTTAAAGATGTTTTGGTTTGCTTTGAGACAGGGTCTCACTATGTAGTCTACACTGGTCTCAAATCTCCTGCTTTAGCATTCCAAGTGCCAGTGGGGCTTACAGAAATGTACTACCACATTTGGTTTAGTAAAAGATCTTATTTCCTTCACAGGTTCAAGCATCCTTTCTCTGTGATCCTAGACCTCAGATCTAGCAGAGCCTCAAATTACAAGGATGTGAAGACTGGCATGGCCATCGTGTGAGAAAGCTCACCCGCACCTAATCCTCTCACTTTAGTCTGTGATGTGTGCACTCTGGCTGTTGGTGGAAGGCATAGCTTGCAGCCCTGGAAGGAGAGTATCCTAAATGTTTTGTCCAGGGTGGTGCAAAAGTTTATGCATGGCCATTCCAAAATTTGAGCTGGATAGCTGCTCCAGTTGGAGTGACAGATGAGATAGAACCAGTGGGTCTGTTTTTAGCTACCCGCTATTAAATCTCATCCATAATCAAAGAACTCTTATTGGCCGGGCAGTGGTGGCGCTCACTTTTAATCCCAGCACTTCGGAAGCAGAGACAGACCTATTTGTGAGTTCCAGGCCAGCCTGATTTACAAAGCAAGTTCCAGGACAGGCTCCAAAGCTACAGATAACCCTTATTTCGAGTTGATACAAGGGCCCATGTTAGAAACCTCATTGGATAAATCAAGCATTCTGTAAGCCTTCACAGAAGAACCAGAAGAGACATCATAGGCAATGACGTCTACTATGGAGAAGATGTCAATTTTAGTGTGAAGCATTGTCCTTCCCTTGATAGAAGAGGCCAATATAATCAATCTGTCACCAAGAGACTGACTAAAAGCCTCATGGGAGTTCTAAAAGACAGAAGCTAACTGGTGTCTGTCAGGGAGTCCTCCTGTCCACATGGCTGTTTACTGCATCTTTTGAGGTGAATGCCCTCTGGTAAGCAATGACTTGAGACACAAAGATACCACATCTTGTGCCAAGGCACATAAGTTCATCCAAGTACTTCTCACTCAGGCCTCTTTGTCCCCAGATTCCCTATCCTGCTCTTTGCATGTGTTTTTGATGCACTATAACTGGAGATAGAGTCATCCAGAGGTCCAGGTGAGGAAGGCAGGACCCCTGGGATGGTGCTATCAGGAGTAATGGGATCTCTAAAAGCAGATGCCTAGTGGGTGGTCACTATGGCCATAATATTCTGACTCTCTGAAGTTCCTGAGAAAGTTGCCATGAAAGAAGCAAGTGTGCTCCCCCACTCCATGCTCCCCTACTGCAGGCACAAGTTTGCAATCACTTGTTCCTTCATGCTCCCCACCATCTGCCGTTCCTCAGAAATGACCCTATGAAAGCCTTGAACCTCTAAGACATAAGCCAAAAACCTCCTTGCTTTCCTTGTTTTGTTTTTGTTGTTATTGTTGTTGTTTGTTTGTTTTTCAAGACAGGATTGTCCTGGAACTCACTCTGTGGACCAGACTGGCCTCAAACCCAGATATCTACCTGCCTCTGCCTCTTGAGTGCTGGAATTAAAGGTATGTGCCACATGTCTGTCTCCTTACTTGTCTACATAGCCTAGTCAAGTACTTCATTATGGCAATGAAAAGCTAAGATAGCTACATCATGCCTCTTCCTCTCCCATACAAAGTGAATGGTCAATACCCTGTTGTGTTAGTTTTCTCATCTCTGTGAACAAATACCTGATGAGAAGCAACTGGAGGGAATAAGTATCTATTTTGGCTCATAGTTCCATAAAGAACAAGATGTGGTAAGTGGGGCTGTGTCCAGGGTAGCATAAGCTTTAGCATCCTCTATGTCTTGGAGGATCAAACAGCAGAGATCTCAGCCTGGGACCAAGATTGGCTGTAACCTCTACAACTGTATGTCTTCCAATTAGAGACCCCACATCTAAAAGGTTCCACAACCTTTATACAGAGCCAAGAGTTGAAACAGATGAACCTGTGGGTGGCATTTCACACTCGAGCCACAACACCTATTCACAGATCTGGTCATTGACAAGATTTTCCCGTGCTACTGTTTGGGAGCCCATACTGATGTAACTGTGGTTCCTTCTAGCTCACCCCAAGGCACAAGATTTTTCCTCCATCAGTTTATCATACAAAGGCGATGGCATGATCTGAGAAACTGACTCTGATACAGCAGAGGAGGAAGACACTGGGATCCTGGCCATGTGTTCACTTAATTGCCTTGTGTTCTTTGGATCTACTCCCAGTAACCTTCCATCATACTTGAAAGGCAGCTCCAGCTTCAAAGTCATTTGATGTCTCATGGTCAATTCCACAATGTCCTTTAAATGACTCTTCTTCCAATGAGTAGCTAAGGGTAATTCATTACAAAAGGAATACCCTTGCACTAGGTTTCCATGGCTCTGTCCTGAAATTCTAATAGCAAACCTTCAATAGACTCCACACGGCAGGCATCTTTATCTACCATGAATAACCTTCCTGCACACAGGGCATTTTGGCCCACAGCATCGATCTGCTACAAAGTCTCTCCTTGATATGTATTTGAACCACAAAATGGATGAATCAATGGTGTACAATGCTATGTGTTTTTCTCAGAAACAAGGGATAGTTGGGATACAGTATCCTATCTCAGACCAGTGGATCCTCACAATATTTTCATCTCTATGACAGAGCTCTAAATTTTAGGGGAAGGGAGATTTCTCTCTCATCTACCTTATATTTTGTTCTGATCCAATTAGTATTATGCACTGTAGAATGACAGCATGATCAAGGACCCTGTGGCTATATTGTGACAGAATTAGCACCACCCACCTGGGCAAGGCAAGAAATCTACATTGCTGTTTTCCCCATTCATGAACAAAATAACTTTGAATTTCCTTACTGATAAGGACTTAATTTAGGGGTGGGCGAGGGTTGACACAGGTCTCTATATAACCTTGGCTGGTCTGGAACTCACTCTATAGAACAGGCTGGCCTTGAACTCACAGAGATCCACTGGCCTCTGCCTCCTGAGTACTAGAATTAAAGGTGTGTGCCACCTGAGCTGGGTGGTGGTTGTGGCGATGGCATCGGTGGAGGCAGCAGCACATGCCCTTAATCCCCGTACTCAAGAGGCAGAGGCAGCCTGGTCTATAGAGTGAGTTCCAGGATGGCTATGGCTGTTACACAGAGAAACCCTGTCTCGAAACACCATTTAAAAAAAAAAAGCAGGGAGGTGGGGGGTGGGGTGGGCGTGTGTCATCATACCTAGCCCTTGATGAGAACTTAAAAGACTGTACTCACTAGTGCAGTGCTGCACACCAAGTGTCAAACGCTTTATTGGTCTGCTTTGGTAGAGATTGTCCCAGGTGCATTTGGAGCTATGGCTTGGCTAAACCAATGGAAAGCCACTGTCATCCAGTCTGTAGTTCCCTGTACCAATGAACCCAGTGGGCATGTGATAGGAAATGCCATTGTTGTGCCTTTAGTCTTCGGTGTGAAGGGACCAGCTCCCCTTTCGGCAGCAATAACAGCCGAACACATGCTTGCCATAAACTTGCCTTGGTCACTTAGAGGTCAGATGCCTGCCTTGTGACAAGGAACCAATCAGAAGTTAGTCACTAGAAAGTCAGATGTCTGCCTTGTGACAAGGAACCAATCAGAAGTTAGTC